GAGAGCGCTCAAACAATACATGGAGCCTCACTACTCATCCAGTGCTCTACCACTCAGCTATTTGCCCAGCTGAGAAGATTTTTAAATAGAATCAGAGCCTCTAATTTCTGTAGCTTCATGGTTTGTCTTTCTGGCCCATGTCTTGTTCTCACTGGTCCCGGAGGTAATGCTAATCCATAGCTATCTCAGGTCTCTTGGGGCTGGCCGAGCCTCTGCACGCCCCACGCATCTCACAAGCCATGGTGGGTGGCCCTTTGTGGTCAGACTGTTGGCTGTGCATGGGGTCTTTGCAGTTTCCCCACTTCGTGGCCGTGTGTTAGGTTCACACCGGTCCTTCAGTGTGCCAGGACATGAAAAAGGAAGGGAGATGGGAAAGTCACGCCCTAACTTTGGCTAGTATTAGTCATGTAAATAGGAAGAGGAGAGTTTCAGAGAAATTGTTAGGGTGGCCTTGGCATTTCATTTATAACATTTTTGTTAGGAATAAGTGTTTCTGTTCTTTTCAATGGCAGTGAATCTTTTCAGATTATCCATTCCTGGGTCAAGTTTGGAGAATTTGTGTTTTACTAGGACATTATTAGTTTCCCATGGGTTTTCAGTTTTTTGTCATGTCACTTCAGGTATTCTTTTGTGTTTATATTAACATGATAATGCTTTGAACATGTGTCCTTTGTGTTTTCCTTCTCATTTTAAAAACCTCTGCCGTGTTCTCTCTCTTTGTTCTTCTGTGGGCTTGAGAAGAAGCATGTTTGTGTTTTTAAGAAGCTTTGACTCACTTATCCTGTCCACTTGTATTCCATCAATTCTGGGCTGCTCTGGTACATTTTATTGTTTTTGAAAATGGCCAGAGTGATGAAGAACGCTCAGTTCTTGTTTATGACTCCATAAGTTCGTTCAGTGAGTTGGAACTGGGTACCAGGGTGGGAGTCTCTACACAGGAGATTTATAAATTAATACTAGGAACCTAAAGACGAGTTTCCTGGTATCACCTGTTGGGGATTCATACTCCTGTAGCTCTGTACCAACCATTAACGGGAGAGGCGCGGGGGGGGGGGGGGGGGAATACATGCATGTGTATGTGCCTGTGTGCCCCAGGAGTGTTCTTGCAGAGGCTGGAGAAGTATAACAGCTTATTCCCTCTAATGCCCTCCCCCTTATTTTGCGAGACCTCGGCTGGCAGACTAGTAAGCTCCTGAGGTCCACCTGTTTCCATTTGCCAACGCTGGCACTACAGACACTTACAGCCATGAGTGCTTCTTACGTGGGCTCTCAGAATACCAGCCTGGGTCCTCATGCTTCCAGAGCAAACATCTACCCACTGAGGCGTCTCCCTAGCCCCCCACCATTACACTTCCTACGTTCACATTTTGATTGTGTCTGTGAAAAGCAGTCATCTGAAGAACGGAGGGGCTCTGCAGAAGCCAGGTCGCTGAAGCAAATGCCTGTCAGCAGAAGAGGGGAGAGACCATTGGCGTTTTTACCTCTGTTGTCGCTCTCTTGGTTTTCAGGGACTGGTCTCATAAAAGTCTAAATTGTATAGGAAATAACAGCAATCCACAGCAGCCTACAATCCTTTTAACAGTAGTGATTCTAGGTAGATTGAGAAGAGGCAGTCATTCCTCTGTCTTTCTGAGAACCCAGGTCAGGACATCTGCTTGTATTTTCTCCCCTTGTTTGTTATATCCTAACGTCCCTGTTTCCTCAGTTACATAATGAATCTGGGAGAAATAACCATACCCAGACTGATAGCTTTTTTAGTATTGGGGACAAAGCAAAGCAGCTGCTACCCTAGCCAATACCTGCACTTCTCAAGGATGCCCATCTATTCCTCTTGGCCACCAGGAGCTTTCCAGAAAGTTCTCACACTGTTTAGCTAATTGGGATTTTAATCTTGTCCAACTGAATTGTAGTTAGATATTATGCTTATGGGAAGGACAAGAGCTGTTTCTTTCTGGGGTCCATGAATAAAATAAGTCCCCAGCCTGTCCTGAGCTGGGAAAGTATGCAGTGCTAGCAATATTTTTGTATGGTTAAAGATGAAATAAAGGAGAAAGACAGAAAAGAGTAGATCCAGCCACATTTCAGCCCTGGATGTTTCTGTCTGTTACAGTGTTTGTCGTCTGGTGCCTGGAATAAATCATGCATCCTGGGAGAGTTTCTCAAAGAGCGATCGATGGTCTTGGTTTTCTGTGAGAATTCCAGTTGGCCTTGTACAACAGGACAGACAGGCACACCTAAGCCACGTGAACAATGCAGCATGCACTCAGGAGTGTGAGAATGTTGATATAGGCAGAGGCAGGGGCGAGAGACAAGCCTGTAAACCTGCATTGGCCTCAACCGTGTCCGTCATAATTGACCGTTTTCTGTCTTTAAATTCAGGTGAAGGAAAGGCTTATGGACAGAAGTCTTCAAGAGTGCTGCTGAAAATCAGAACAGAAGTGGAACAGTGTCATTACACCTAACAGAAAGCACATTCGCCATGGCTTTGGAGAAACTGTGCTTTGAGGATGTTGTTTGCTTTTGGTGAAAAAGGAACTCCAGGCAACCACCCTTTCTGTCTGTTTGTGATAGTATTGTGTGATGACCACGGAGGTGGGGTCACACCACTGTTGCTGATGACTGCTTCTTGCCTCTGTGGACATGAGTGACCCAAGGCCATCACAGGTAGAGAAGCACAAGCTCGGCAGAGCTGCCTCCAAATTCAAGGACCCTTCCAGAACCATGCAGTCTGATGATTATTTTGCTCGGAAATTTAAAGCCATCAATGGCAGCATGGGACCCGCTCCTTTGAACACCTCCAGTCCAAGTGAGGGCAGTGGTGGTGGGCCAGCCAACGGTACCCCAGCAGTGCCCAAGATGGGAGTGAGGGCCAGAGTGTCTGAGTGGCCTCCGAAAAAGGACTGCTCCAAAGACTTGGCCTGCAAGACACTGTGGGAGAGCCGTTCTCAGTCCAGCTACGAAAGCGTCACCTCCATCATCCAGAATGGCCAAAATGACCAGGGTGACAGGCAGCAAGAAGAGCAGCTGGACCTGGACTTTGTGGAGGCAAAGTACACCATTGGAGACATCTTCGTCCATTCTCCCCAGAGGGGACTCCACCCCATACGACAAAGGAGCAACAGCGACGTTACCATCAGTGATATCGATACTGAGGATGTCCTGGACCAACATGCAGTCAACCCCAACACCGGAGCTGCCCTGCACAGGGAATATGGGAGCACTTCATCTATTGACAGGCAGGGTCTGTCTGGAGAGAATGTTTTTGCCATGCTCCGAGGGTACCGAGTGGAGAATTACGATCCTAAGGTGACCAGCTCCTTTGGGTTTCCGGATTTCTTCCCCTGTAACACCGCCATCTCCCCCAGCCTCCATGCTGCAGCCCAGATTTCTAGAGGAGAGTTCGTCCGCATCTCGGGCTTGGACTACATGGATGGTGGGCTCTTAATGGGGAGGGACAGAGACAAGCCCTTCAAGCGCAGGTTAAAATCAGAGTCAGTGGAAACATCACTCTTCCGAAAACTTCGGACAGTAAAGAGTGAGCATGAGACCTTCAAGTTCACTTCTGACCTAGAGGAGGGCCGCCTGGACCGGGGCATCCGCCCTTGGAGTTGCCAGAGGTGCTTTGCCCATTATGATGTGCAGAGTATCCTCTTCAACATCAACGAAGCCATGGCCACGAGGGCCAGCGTGGGGAAGAGAAAGAACATCACCACAGGGGCCTCGGCTGCATCACAGACCCCAGTCCCCGTAGGCCCAGCCGGAGGCTGCGAGTCCCCACTGGGCAGCAAGGAAGACCTCAACTCCAAAGAGAACCCGGACGCTGACGAAGGCGATGGAAAGAGCAATGACTTGGTCCTCAGCTGCCCTTACTTCCGCAATGAGACTGGTGGGGAGGGCGACAGGCGCATTGCGCTGTCTCGGGCCAACTCAGCCTCTTTCAGCTCTGGGGAGAGCTGTTCCTTTGAGTCATCCCTCAGCTCACACTGTACCAATGCAGGTGTCTCTGTCTTGGAGGTGCCTCGAGAGAACCAACCCATCCACAGGGAGAAGGTCAAACGCTACATCATAGAGCACGTTGACCTGGGGGCCTACTACTACCGCAAGTTCTTCTATGGCAAAGGTAGGCGCCTGGCTACCTTCAAGGCTCTGACCGGGGGTGGGGGGGGTGGGGGGGGCACATAAACAACAAAACAACATTCACTCACAACCCTGCCCCCCATGTCCCAAGGACAAACCAAGGTTCAAAGGTACAGTTCTAGCAGTGTTTACTCTCAGGAACCGATAGGTAGGTCTGTTAGGCTTACTTACAGAGTATATGTGAGGGGTTGTGAGCAGGTATATGGGTGGCCTTCCAGCAGCCATGTGGAAAAGTCTGATCCAGCGTGGATGATTCCGCGATGGCTACATAGATGGGGTCCCTCTTCCCTAGTTCTTGCACTGCCCTAGCATGTGCTCTAGCCCTTCTCTGAGACCACATGCAGGTAGGACAGAATTAACACGCAGCTGATTGGGAGGAATGCCTGGGTATTCGGGTAAGGGTCCCATCACCCTCCCTGCTGTTCCTTTTACAAGACATCAGCAATCAAAAAGCCTAGCTGTGATGATCTTTTGCAAGCAGGCACCACTGATCTGATGAAGATGGCAGCAGTTTGGCTCAGAGGATAGTCCTATAAAACACACTATGACCAAACGACCCACCACCTGAGGGGATAGTGTAAGAGGAGGAAGGATTCCTTTTGACAGAATTTCAGAGAGTCCAGTCCATAGTCAAGTGTCCTTGTGTTCTCAGGGTGGACATGGGAGTATGTTGTGCAGAGAATTTCTTAATTGCACAGTGGACAGGGAGGGAGGGAGGGAGAAAGGAACTGGGGAATCAGGTGTCACTTTCGATGACACAACCCCAATGACCTGCTCTTCCAGGTAAGTCGGACCTCCTAAAGTTTCTAGGGCCCTCCAAAGTAGCACCACCAGCTACAGACGCTTGCTTAACACATAATCTGTGGGAGACACATTGAAATCATACCAGGACTATGTCTTCAGGGCCTGCCGTGAGCTTTACTACATGAGAGCAACTTCCTCAGGGTCCCAGGGCCGTGGCCCACTGGACTTGGGTTGTCCTTGGTCAGTAATTGTCCACTGCAGCCTCTTAGGAGCCCCAGCGTCTGGTTCTCCTGCTGATTCACAGTCCCCGCCAAGAGCCTGCTTCCTCCTCCTCTGGCATCAGGCTTCTTTTAGATTTTACCCATCTTACGAAACATCCTGTGATTATATCTGTCCTGTGTTGTTCCTCTGCATAGCTCCTAACACTGTGTAGACTGGATAACTCTGAGGGGTTTTCCCGCCACCCTTTGCTCTTACCTGTTGATTCATAGATTGGATATATCAAAGCCTTTTGACAGAATTTATGGATTAACCAGATATGCATGGTCCTGAAAATGGGATTGCATGGGCAGAGATAAAACGTTCCTTCTGGTGTTACCGCAAAAGTCTTCGATATACTATAAATTATCTTCACTTCCTTTGGTTGAACTGTCTTCATCACAGGTTTTGGTTAGCAGTGTGCTCCTTTGCCCATTCTCCTGTCTTTCCTGCTTGTCACAGTAAAGTCCGGGAACCTCTGGGTTATGTTCCAGTCTGACTTAACTGCCATCCTCACTGCTGTCCCTGTCCCCGGGCTACCAGGCATTAGGCATGTGAAGGACTGGTCTCCAGGAAGAAGTCAGTGGCTTTTGGCTTTCAAAAAGGGACCAGAGAGGAGCAGCCTTCCTCACCAAGACTATTGTCACAGCTGAAATGAGGCACATGAAGTAAATCTAGATTTGTCACACTCTAAAGTCCATAAGCAGCCCAGCATCTGGGCACCTGAGTGCTGCAGAGTTTAGGGCATCAGGCAGGATTCTGTGGTCCTGTGGTGCAAATGCTTACAGCTTCCCACTCAAACTGTGTCTCACATCCAGAGTATGTGTGAGAGGAGCCACGTTTACTGTCCAGACCATTGCCACCACTGGACTTACTAGGGTCTGTCCCGGGAGGTGGATTCTGTGCTCATCTGCCACTTGTTTTGAAGACCTCTCTGCAGTGACTTACTTCCTCTGCCCTTTCTGATTGCTGATGGAGGCACTGGAGGTCGTTGGAAGCGACACTGTCAGACTATTTAGGTCAGTACACAAAGTAAGTTAATAAGCTCCCAGAAGTAATCTGTGTGTACACACCCTGGAGTGAACGGAGAGGGATACAGCTGTGCTGCTTGGCAGTGCCAGGGTCTTTGATTCATCCCCAATTAGGGGCTTAGCCGAGGACCTAGGAAGTAGCTGGAAAGCGGAGTTCTAGACTGTTCTGTAAAGCCAGCAGAATGAGGTCCCCTGCTTCCATGGCTGTCCTCTGGGAAGAAGCCTAATAAGCTCCAGGCTGAGGGGGAAGTAGCCTCAAGGGAAAGATTTAGGGCTTCAGTGCAAAGGGGGACTCCTGCTTCCTCAGGGCTTAGCTCTTTGCCTGTGACCCCAGTGTGACTTGAGTTAAAATTGGCAGCAGAGGTGTCTGCATGGAGTCATTAGTGACCAGACTGGCGGCCAAAGTCTGAGGGTTCAGTTGTACAGACTACGCTAACCCCATAGCCTCAGTCCCTGGACAAGGCAGAGCAGGGTGCTCCTACGAGCCTGCCAGCAAGTGGATGTCACTGGTTAAAAGCAGACCCGCCAGGACAGGCTCTAAGGCTGGGCTCTGCAAATAGCTGCCTGCCTTTCCCCCTTCTCCCCTTCAGAGCTCTTCTCTACAGCTCTCGGGGACCTGCTGATAAACCTCTAAAGCACCTTTTGTTTTCTTCTCTGTTCCTTGTGAAACCCCTGGTACTGTGGGTTGTCTGATGTTTATGTAGGCTTTGTAAGTCCTGGGCCATGGATGTGCAGAGGTGGCTCTTGATGCCAGGGTGTGTCCCATGACAGTCACTAAAGGATGTTTCAGTGACTTTGTGAACCCGTCAACCAGGGAGTGGCTGGCCACCATAAGCAGAGTTGGCAGCATGACCTGTCCAAGCAAGTCCTTCTGCATCCTCCTGAGAGTTTGAAAGGAAATGGCCATGACGGTACGCATGGCCAGCAGCAATAACATCCCTCACTCTCTGGTGATGACCAGGAGGAAAAGATAAGGCCTTTGCTCTGCATTGCCCGTCCTGTCTCTGGGGCTTCTCCTTGGTAGCACAGGCCACTTGGAAGAGTCCTGCAAACATCCCAGATTCAGCTCCTGACTCTTTGGGGACTCCTGTGCAGCTGCCAGCCATGAGTTCATGCTCTCCCTATCTCCCTTAGCTTCTTTTCCTGTTGCTGTCATGAAATACTCGGACAGTGCAACTTAAGGGAGAAAGGGTCGAGTTTAGCTCACGGTCAGGGTAGAATCCATCATGGACGGAAAGTCTAGGCAGCAGGAGCTTGAAGCAGCTGGCCACATCACATCCACAGTCAGGAAACAGAGGGATGAATGCAAGCTAGTATCCAGCTTGTCTTCTCCATGTTATCCCGTCTAGGATTCCCTGTCTGGGGAATGGTCTCACTCCAGTTAAGATGGATCTTCCTATATCAGTTAATGTAGTGAAGATGATCCCAAAGGCCCATCTTCCAGGTGATTCCAGATTTTGAAGTTAACAGCACTGACCTTGACGCTCTCCTTCCCTCGATCTCTTCTTTCCTGCCTCACTTTTTCCTTCTGTCCTTTCAGTCTCCCTTTGTCTTCCTCCTTCCCTCCCTCCCTCCTTTATAAAATGTCACCTGACAGGACACGTTTGATTTCTTCTTGTCATATCAGTTGTCAGGTGGAGGCGACTTAGAAGGAGCAGGACAGAAGGGTTGGTGGCAGTGGCACTTCCCAAGTGAAGCTGCACCAGGGGCATCCTCACATCCTTCCGGTTCATGTCTTCATGACTTCCACCTGCTGCTCCTCCCAGCTCTTTGTAGAGGCTCCCTTTCCCCAGTGCTAGCCTTCCTCTGCGGCACTGGAGTGGAGGATGCTCTGTCTAAGTGAGTCAGAGGAGAGAGTTTATTGTGGGCTGGAGCTGGGTCTGTTTGTACCACCCACACTTGCCTACCTGCCATGCACAGGACCCTAAGTTCACTGGCCAGTACTGAGCAAAGCGACAACAGAAACCAGACCCCTCTATTAGCCCTGTCTGTCACAGCACCATTTTACTCTTCTGTGGATGGGGGCTCGGGAACTGCCCCTTTGACGTAAGGCTGAAGTGCCCGCCTGTTGTCAATGGCTGGGGAGTCCATGCTTGATAACCAAGGATGGGCCAGTGGGCAACACTCATGGGTTCATACCCTACCGAGCTCTGTCTTTAAACTGAGCTGATGATTCAGGGAGTCCTGCAAAGGGCTTAGAGCAGTGCCTGTCACACAGCATGGTCCCTCTTGCAAGTCTTACATAAGTGTGTGAGAACTTTCTCTCTTGAAAGAGGCCATTGTCCCCTCTGTAGGCAGGCCCAGCATTGAAGGGCAGTGCTTTGTCCTGATGGTTAAGAGATGAGGAGAGAGGCAGAAGGGCCTGGGATGGGGCGAGGAGTGTCTGGTGAAGCCTGCCACCTGGTTCCAGACACACTCTAGTGTCACTAATGCAGGGGCACGGGTTGGGGGAGGGGTGTGTCTTATGAATCCCCCGAACTCACTACTGAGTGATTCATGACTATGTTTCCTTTGAACTTCATGCCCCCTGCCTTTTCCTCCCATTTTATACAGTCGGTGACTAAAATAATAGGGAGTTGAACACTTAGATTCGCATGGGTGAACAGAGTGACACCTAGCAACAGTACTTTCTAAGACACACGTCCCTCCCTGAGCGGGCACCGTTGATGGACTCCGCATAGCCTCTCTCCCTGGCCCTCATTACTGTACAAACAGAGGTCCTACTGAGTCCAGGAGCTCCTAACAGGAGGAACTACCCAGTTGTACCTGGGACTCTGGCACCAAAGGACATTGCCACACACTTGCTCTCCTGCTGCGGGCAATGAGGATGCAGGGAGTCAGTTTAAGAACTTGCAAAGGCCTGTTCACACTGGACCTCAGCAGGTCTTGGGTCAGCTGTGGAGAAATAGGAAGGATGCTGCTGCTGTTTCTGTGAGGCTTGCTTGATGGCCAAAGTGGAGAGCTCAGGAACTAGTCCCCTCCCATCTGAGAATGCACAGAAGCTAGACAGCTATGCCTTCCTGGTAGCCTGTTACTTATACTCAGAGATGTCTTCCTCTTCTAAGAACATGTTGCTAAAAGCTGCAGTGAACCAAGGCAGCCTGGGATGGCTCCCTCAGTTCCTAGTCTTTCTGGTTGTGCACTGATTTCTTTGGAACTGTACCTTATGACAAGCTGTTGTGTGTCATCTGTTGGTGGAACTATTGTCCATCTCTATGCTATGCTGGCTCCCCCATGTCACCGGTTTGTTTTTTAGCACATGTACGTATATGTGTGTTTGCATGTACATGGTTGTACATCTGTGTTTGTGCACATGAATTTGGAGGCCTGAGATTGACATCAGGAGTCCTTCTGAACTCTTCACCCTTCTTTTAGAGACAGGGTCTCCCAGTTAAAAACCAGTGCTTATGATGTCATTGGCCTGGCCAGCCAGCTTGCTCTAGAGAGACACCCCGCCCCCCAATCTCTGCCTCTTCCTACCTATCAGGAATTACATGACATTTTAGTGGGGTTTAGGAATCTAGTCTTGGTGCAGTTTGTATACGATAAGTATTTTATCCACTGAGCCATCTCCCCAGCCCATGGCTTAGTTTTTGCCTCTTAGATAAAGTCATCCCCCAAAGCTGTTCCTGAAAGTGCTGTTGTTGCCGCTGTCTGTTTACATTCTAACATGCGCAGCACATCATTTCCTGCAGCAAGTCACCTAACCCCTCCTCTTCTGCCCCATCTGAAACGTGGGCCTCATGGGTTTTTGTTTGAAGTCAAGTGTAGTATTTGGCACATTTCACTATTTCCAGTGCTGCGGGTTTTCCAAGCTCAGTAATGCTTTGGTTAAGTTTGGGTCATAGGCGTGTGGCAGCACCAATACCTCAGTTTTCCTGCATGGAAACAGGTTCACAGTGCAGGAAGCCTTGGCAGGAGCGTAGGTTTCTCCAGGCTGGGCATGACTTCACAGTGAAGTGGTGAGGCAGGATCTTCACTCACCCATTTGCCCTACATTTATTGTATTTTGTCCATAGCTCCTAGAGCACAGTGATAGACTGATTGGAAATGCAGGCGCACAGTTTCGAAGGGGAGAAGGTGATGTACAATCCGTCCTAGGAGTTCAGAGAGCCACCGGCGATAGCATGTCACCCCAATGAGCAGTGTGCAAAAACCAGCTAGTTGTTGTAAGGCAGAGAACCAGTGAGCTGCACTGTAGAGGACAGTGATCACAGGCCTCTCCTCTGCATGGGACTGAGGCAGAGGCCTGGGGACAGGGGTTCTGAGCCGGTGGCGACTGTGACCTTGCAGTGTGCTTTACCTGGGCACCACAACCTGGCAAAGCTGTTCTCATCTATCTCTTGAGCCTGGGCCTAAGCATGCAGAGCACCTGTCCTTCCCTGCTCGACTCTTTGGTGATTTACCAGTCAATCTGCTTTCCAGGATACTGCAGAGCCTAGAAACAGCCTTGAGCTGGGGTCCCAGGACATTCCAGTCCTTTTCTTCACAGGAGTTAGGAATTTTTCCCCTTCTTGATGGAATATCCAGGATACACCAAGATGCTGTGATTCTCATTTCTCACACTGCAATCTTATTAACCATTTTTTTTTTTTTAGCCTGTTCTGTTATATTTGAGTGATGTGTGGATTTTCATTCAACTTATCAACAGCCTCCTCACAGCATCCATCCTGCAGGGAAGGATTTCATTTGATTCACTCTTGAAACAATATGGAAATCATCAGCTCATTGGTTGAAAATAAGGCCAGGCTGTCGGGGGGCAAGGGTCTGAATGCACACAGCTCAGAAGGGCTTGCTCACAAGCCTCTGTTTAGAGTGGCAGGCTTCTCAGGACGAAATTCTCAGGTCTTTCCTGAAAGGGATGCAGGATGTCCTTTGAAAGCCTTGTCTTTGTTTCCTCTGGGGAAGTGGGGGAGGGGACATAGACTCTGTTCACATCTTCATGGTCTGTGGGCATACTCTATATAAGAGCTGGACAGCATGTTCTCAAATCTAGGGGAAAATGTTAATTTCTTTAGAAACACATACAGGCATTCTGCAGGCTACTTGCTGAAACCAAAGGCACTGTGAGGTTCCTAGCAAAGACTGGTGGGCATAACTCTATGCAATCTGCGAGCTCAGGCATGGTGCCTGTGGACCATGGGAACCTCACCTCTGCATGTGCATGCAGAAATGTGAGTCAGCCAGAGCCAGAAATGGAAGCAAGATGTGGCTGCAACATAGGTCAGAAAGAGCTATAAGGAGGAACGCCATTCCTTTATTCTCTTGCTCCCTAGTTTGTGTCCTTGTCATCTTTAGTGAAGAAGCTAATAGTTCTTCAGCTTTTCAAAATATGGCTTCTGTTTCAGTGGAGTATTATGTGCCATTGTCTTCTTAAAAAGACTGTAGGCACAACTGATCTTCCCAGGCAGTCACTTGGGAACATACCAATGGAAAACTCAGATCAAAAATCTTCAGCAGCCAGTTAGAAAACAGTTAGAAATTTGAGATTTTGAAATACGTAAATTTGAAATATATATATGGTATATATGTCTATATACATACATACACACATATATACATATGCACATACACATATGGGGGGGGGGCATGTATCCTAAAACACCTTGAACCAGAGGTCAAATCTGAAGAAAGACCAGTGACCACCACAGATTGCTACAGAGTGTTGCCAAGAACAGTAAAGCCTCCAATAGGTGAGGGGAGTTAGTTAGCTGCAGCTTGGAAAGTTTGGTGCTGATGCAGTGTCTGCTCTAAAGACAGGTTGGTGCAGTGCCTTGGGCAGAGGAGGGGAGGGGAGGGGAGGGGAGGAGAGGAGAGGAGAGGAGAGTGCCAGGGAAGTGCCACAAGCCTACACCATGATCCCTACGCACAGGTGGAATCTTCTGGTTTCTCATATAGATATGCTGTCCTGTCTTGCTTCACCTCATTCGCTGCCTCTCTGTTTTTGGCACTTCACTAATACATCATCAAGAACAACAAGATACACTGATATAAACAGTTAACTTCCTATTATTGCTTTTAAACTACTGATTCAAGTCACAAAAGCTGCTCACGTTCTTCAAACCTGACATGAGTTGGTGACACTGGAGTTAGGTCTGTGACCATTGTCTTGGCTGGTGTCAGCACATACTGTACCCACCGCACAGGCTTTCTCCATTCTGAAACTGACTCACCTTCAGCCCCAAAAGGAGCCTCCTTGCTGCTCCTGGCCCTGCCTGGTTCCAGAAGGACAAAATGCCAGTGTTACATTAGTCTGGTTCCCCAATCAGTATAAAATGAATAGTTTCTATTTCAGAACCATTTTGAGCAGTGTTGATTGGAGTGGAGCAGACAGTTGCCCCTTTGGCAACATGAGATCTCTCCAGAAGTTCTCAGGGCATAAAAGCATGGCTTGCAGAGCCTTTCAGAGTCTGCAGGCTTCCCCAACTCAAAATCCGAGAGTTGGGTAAGATTAGCTGAAACCTAGAAGGTGACATTCACAGGGGATAAATGTGGTGTTTTGCATAAGGGTGAAAGAAAATCAGTGTTTAAGGAAACAGCCCTTTGAGAACTGACCTGGCTGTGGTTCTTAAAGAAATGAATGAACAGTTCCTTGGGGCTCACATTGAGGGATGAATGAACAGTTCCTGAAGGTTCACATCTACTACCTGCTCTGCACGAATACTGTGATATAGCTGTCAGCGATAGAAGACACGCTCTTCACCTGCGTTAATGGGCATGTGGGCAATTGTTCTGCACAGCCCAACTGCCTCTACTGTGCTGCAGTAAGATGGGCTGTTTCTGCAGACACGAGTCAGTGTGGAAACTGCAATGGGGCATGGTGACCCCTCGTTGTTCTGTGGTCCAGATCAAGTAGTCCACGGGGCAAGGAGTGTCCCATCACTGGAAGGGTTCTAACCAGGAGATTCACATTGTGAGTGGGGACTGCTTCCTTGAATGTCCCCCTGTGTCCCCACTGCTAAATGTCGCCTGGCATGTGGCTGTTATGCAGATGAGTGAAGGCTGGTGACTGTGTGCCCTGTGGTACCCTGTGCCTGGTAGATGGCATACCCCAAAGTCCATTCCTGCCATGGTGTTGTGTGACTTGGGTCGCTTTCAAGGACCAGGGATTTATGGGAAAGAAAAGGTGAACTGACAGCTCGGTGGAGGGAGTTGCTGGATTTGTAGGACCAGTGACCTTCACAGCCCAGTAATCATCATGAGTTTCCTGCCACTAAATTTCTCCTTAGACACTAGAGACAGTTTAATGACAGGGTGACCTTTGGCACTCCACTGATGGCTAAGATTACTCTGACCAGTCAGAGTGGCTCATTGGGTAACCTCAGGAGTCTCATTCAGTCGGAGAAGGTCGCCTTCCATATGGAAGGAGCAGTGCAGCCTTCAGTGATGACTCTTGAGGAATCGTGCCCCTCCGCAGTGCTGAGGATGGCCACCCATCCTGCTGATGGTGCTGTCTACAGATTGGCAGCTTTGGGGTAGAGACCCTCATGATACAGTGAAAAGCAGAGTTAAACCCAGAGGCAGCTGAGGATGGCCACCCATCCTGCTGATGGTGCTGTCTACAGATTGGCAGCTTTGGGGTAGAGACCCTCATGATACTGACAGTGAAAAGCAGAGTTAAACAGAGAGGCGGCGAGTGAGCTGAAGCAAGACAGGACAGCATATCTGTATAAGAAACCGGAAGATTCCACCTGTGCGTAGGGATCATGGTGTAGGCTTGTGGCACTTCCCTGGGGACTTGTGACATGAACCAATGCTGCTGCATCACTTGCTCTCTCCGCTGACTCTGCTCTTTTGAATCCCAGAGCACCAGAACTACTTTGGAATAGATGAAAACCTTGGCCCCGTGGCAGTCAGCATCCGGAGGGAGAAGGTGGAAGATCCCAAGGAGAAAGAAGGGTCCCAGTTCAACTACAGGGTGGCCTTCAGGACAAGTGAGGTAAGAGGTTGCTGTGGGAAGTCCATCCTCATTGCCACTTTAGCTAAGTTTTGGAAAACCTAATCTTAATGTCAGTTGTCTAATGCTCAAAGACTCTGAAAGGCCGTTATATGATTTTTATCCGAAGTGAATACTTGGGAGCCTCTCCTGGATCTTAGGTGGCCATAGTCTTACCACCATGGGAACTGAGTGTGGTCACAGGGACACCTGGCACGTACACAGTGTTCTGTGTGCACTCATAAAGCCCGTAACCTGCACTAGCCATTCTGCCACAGACCTCAGGGAAGGTGACCAGTGTGACAGACATCACAACAGCTGGTTTCATCAATTATTTACATTTAATTACTATCTTAACTTTAGTCTGCACAGGTCTGTCTTCAAAGCTGTCACTCAAGGAAAGGGCTTAGCCCATGTGAACATAGTCAGCATTGAGCCCAGGTCACCAGGACACCTGCAATACCAGTTGAGACATACAGGGTCACCATGCTTACAGAAGCAAAGGAGACCAGAGAAGCCTCTTTTTTCTGTCTGACCTAAAGTGGTCAGCCAGCACCTTCTGGAAGGCCCACTAAATGGGCCCCACTCTGATTTTGTGGGCCAAAGGACCCAGACCTGCATGCAGTGCAGGGGAATCCGATTCCTCAGGATGGTTGATGTGCTACTTAGCTGCACAATGTGTGCAGTGATCTCGATATTTACTCACTATGAGGCCAGCCGGGCACAAGAAGATGCTCTGCCATGGTGTGGGCTGGAAGGACATGTGGCCATATTGGTTTTGCGTGCCTGTCAGACACCAGCCCCACTGCATGGTAAAGATGGAAGGTTCTGAGATTGAGACATGAGAACAGATGTGAGCTGCACAGTCTGCATCAGAATTTGGAAATGAGTTTAAAACCAAATGCAGAAGATGAGGCCACAGTGCAGTGGCTTTTCCCCATCATGACAGCTTGGAATGGTGACCCAGGTGTCTTACTTACCCTTCTATTGCTGTGAAGTCACTATAACCAAAGCAACATAAAGGAAAACATTTATTGGAGCTCATGATTACTGGGGGTTAGAATCCCTAGAATCATGGTTACTAGGGACCATGGCAGCAAACAAGCAGGCATGGTATTATAACAGTAGCTGAGAACTCATGTTCTTGATCCACAAGCAAGAGGCAGAGAGCTAACAGAATGGCATGGACTTTTGAAACCTCAAAGCCTGCCCCCAGTGATGCACCTGTTCCAACAGAGTCACACCTCCTAATCCTTCCCAAACAGTTCCACCAGCCAGGGACCAGGCATTCAAATACATGTGCCTATGGGGACCATTCTCATTGAGAACACCACACTAGACTTCCAAGGTATACAGCAAATCATGAAACTGGTCCAGCAATCCCATCTTAGCCACCCACATGCAGCCCCAGGAGTAGAAAGGAATGAAGAGAAAAATGTAGAGACAGGAGAAGGAGGATGTACTGTGGACATGTCCTGTGGTCCCTTCTCAGTAGCCTGTCTGGGGTTTCAGAGCTTCAGGGTTAATTACTTGTCTCCTTCATTCTTCAGGTCTCATCTGTTTGTCTCATCTTTTTTCCCCTCCTGGTGTCTCCCCATCCCTATGTGAAGTTGTTGATAGAGCAATGCTGGTTTTATGTCTCAGATGGAGTATCTTGCTTCCATTTGCTAAACTGTTAGATCCTCTGTGAATAAACAGCAGCAAGTACTAACTGGAGTCTCTTGCCCCAGCTCACAACTCTGAGAGGAGCGATCCTAGAAGATGCTGTTCCCTCCACAGCCCGCCATGGCACTGCCCGGGGCCTGCCCCTCAAGGAAGTCCTGGAGTTTGTTATCCCGGAGCTGAGCATCCAGTGCCTGCGGCAGGCAGCCAACTCCCCCAAGGTCCCGGAGCAGCTGCTCAAGCTGGATGAACAAGGGGTGCGTAGAGTGTGTGGCCAGAAAGCTCATGCCAACCTGGGGTGTACACTTGAAAATGGGACACACACACACATACACACACTCTGCACGCTCCCCTCTCTCTCAAGATAAGGTCTTATTGTGGTCTTGAACTCAATCCTCCTGCCTCACTCTCCCACATAGCCAGAATTATAGACAGGAGCTCCTATACCAGGTTCTCATGTTCTCTCTTTTAAGACCAATTATTGCAAATGTCTCCAAGTAAAGTGTATGGCCCCAAAGACCACTCTAGAAAATTCCATAGAGGGTCCATTTTTCCCAACCCATGTGGTTCTGCTTTGTGGGAGCAGAGTGATAAGACCACATGACAACTGTGGCCTGCTGTATCCTTACAGAGTGAGGCAGGTGATTTGTGAGGTCGTAGGCAGGCAGGTCCAGAAGCTATACCCGGCTTTTTCAGACTTTGGGTGAACACCATCTTAGAACTGAACGTCAGTGAACTGACTGTGGAATTAGAACTCAGGTTGTCTCACTTGCTCTGTCTTCTGGCTTTGCGATGTTGATGTGGCCGTCTTTGTGATGATGTCTGGAGCTGAGTGCCAGCTGACCTTTCAGCTCTGACGACTCCTCCTGTGTTCTGGATATCGAGGACTGTTGAGAAAAGAGGCTACTTACTTTACCCCCCTGAAAGAGATGCAGTTTGCCATCCCCTGCCCATGCTGCCCTCCGACTCCAGACCCCGCTGTTCTGTTGATTTTCCTGAAAGCACATCTGCCAGGGAAAGCACCAGCACACAAAAGGAGTCCAATATTTAAATAGTAATTAACCTTGCTGTGGCTCCTCTTTCTTGGATTCTGTAGCTCTTCTGTTCCCTGTGATTGGCTCCTGGCCATCTCAATTCCCCTTAGGACATAGTCAGGTGAGGAGAGTCCAGCTTGTTCATTTTGTTGTTGGATTTTGGTAAGGTGTTCCAAGCAAGGAGACAGAACACTGTGATAATCTGAAAAGAAGTTACGATGTGGGGCCTCGGGGGTTCTGACACATTGTCTGTATAAATTCACCTCCCAACTTCCTGAATGCCATTCTTTCCTTTTTTTTAGAAGTGGGGGGGGGGGTGAGTGTGTGTGCGCGCCAGTATGTGTGAAAGCCAGAGAAGAGTATCAGATATCCTGGAGCTGAAATTATAAGCAGTTGTGAGTCACCTCACGGGGATGCTGGGAGTTCAGATTCTCTGGAAGAACAGCAGGTGCTCATAACCAACGAGCCATCTTTCCAGCCCCCTTTTCCTTTTTGTTTTTTAAAAATTTATTTATTTTTATGTGTGACTATTCTCCTGTGTGGATATATGCACCCCAGAAGAGGATATCAGATTCCCCAAAACTGGAGTTAGAGGTGAGTCTGAGCCATCAAGTGGGTGCTGGGTCCTCTGTGAGAGCAGCAAGTGCGCTGAACTACTGAGCTATCTCTGTTTTTCCTTCCTAAAGAGACGTTCTGGTTTATACATTAGTATTGGTGAAATTATTATGGCCACACCACGTAGTTAAAAGGGAGGTTTATTTTGTGGGGTAACTTACAAGTGAAGGAATAGGTAACAGGGTCTGGGAAGGGTGTGGCGCAGTCCGGCGGTATTCTCTGGAGAACTCTGCTCGGTCTACCTCCAGCGTCCAGGGTCCAGGAGCCAAGAGAACTGGCCCATCTGGATCTCGGGTCTTCAGGGTCCTCTCTCAGCCCCGCCTTGTAGGCGTGACAGTTACCGAAGCCTCAGTGGGGGTTGGAACTTCCAGATCAAAGCTGGAAATTCATAGGTTGACCTTTAACAAGAGTTACCTAGCTGGGTGATGATAGCCCCCAGGGACACAACACATTATAGCGTATTTGACAAAGTCTATTCTAAAGGCCAGCTGCCCCTCCCCTATAGGCCACATGCCCAGACACACCAGGTGGACATCAGATTTGCTCCACATAGGCATCAGATCCACGCCACCAACGGAGCTGTGTGATGGAGCCTGGGAGCTGAGTCGCTGCACACGCAGCATGGTTGTCAAGGAAATTCATGGGCTTTCTTTTTTGCTACCATCATTTGTGTTGAACACTTCTTGATGATAATGACAAAGTGTCTTTCTTAGTCACTCTTCTATTGCTGTGAAGAGACACCATGGCCAAGGTAACCTGTATAGAAGAAAGCATTTCATTGTGGGCCTGCTTACAGTTATTCCGCTATCATCATGGCAGGAGCATGGCGGCATGCAAGCAGACATGGTGATGGAGCAGGAGCTGAGATTCCTGATCCACGAGCAGAGAAAGAGTTGCTGGCCTAATGTGGGCTTTTGACACCTCAAAGCCCACCCCAGTGACACACTTCCTCCAACAAGGCCACACCTCCTAATCTTTCTGATCCTTCTCAAGTAGTGTCACTCCCTGATCACTAAGCATCCAAATATATGAACCTATGGGGCCATTCCCATTCAAACCACCACCACCTAAAGCTTCTGGTGTTGGGAACAGAGTGGCCAGTCTTGACCCTGCCCCAGTAGGAAGAGGTGTGTCTGAGTCCCCTGCTGTCTGTGCGTATATTCTGCTCACAGCCCTGAGCCACAGGAGACACTGACAAGCGTGTGCCATAGTTCTCGCGTCCCAGCACTGGCATTGGCCTGCAGCCTGCCTGCCTTTTATCTCAGATCCATTAGGTTGGGTTGGAGCAGTGGGGGAGTGTTGAGATCAGCCTGAGGTCAGCAGGTGAGGGATGGAAGAGTGGCCTGGGAAGGTGAGCGTTCCTGTACAAAGGAGTCAGAATGTTTACTTGAGTGTGGCAGTGAGCAGCAGAGCCTGCTACTGGCTTCCGGTGGACTAGGAGGAGGAAAAGGGAAGTGCCATTTGACCATTTTTTTTAGTTTTCTAAAAGAAGCCAGGTGACAGTAGGTCACTTCCTGAATAACATTAGATTGTGGCCAACATGTAGTAAATGGTTCTCGGTCCCTGGAAGCATTTCTATCTCACTGGAGAACAGATGAGGTAGGTATGGTGGTGACAGCCCATGAGTGTAGCCCTGTTCCTGGCCATGTTGTGTGTGTCCCCGTATCTACAGGATCTAGATTCTGATTCTGCTATTACATTTCCCAAAGGTCTTGGTGTAAGAATGATATGCATCGCTGGTTACCACATGGAAAGGTCATGGCCACCACTACACCCAGTATCAGTATCAGAGCTTTATTAGGAGAAAGAGGGTTGGGGGGGGGGTAGGGGACAAGAGAACCAGGCCTGGGGAAAGAACACGTGCAGAGAGAGAAAGATGGTGGGGGGAAGAGAGAACAGAATAGAGAGAGAGGGTGGGGTCTGAGTCACAGCTCTTTAAGGTGCAGGTGGGCTTACAGAGCTACGACATGCATGTGCAGATTGTGTGACCACACCACACATACGAAATCACCAGTGCACACTGATGACGTAAAATTTAAGACCCCTTGTTAAGCTCCTGAACTGCGCATGTGCAGTCATGCAACTGGAGCGCGGCAGAATCCCAACACTTGGCACCTGTAATGCAGGTCTGGTGGTTGGAAACACTGTTTCCATTCAGTTTGGGTCTAGACACAATGGGGTCTTTTGGATACATGGAAGACAGTGCAAGCCATAGCATAGTATTAAGCAGATAGTCTTCCAGGATTTCAATCCCCAATTATCCACCCTTTGCCCAAATAAAGTCCCAAGGAATACCAGAAGTCTACCAGGTGTGGGGAGACAGGGAATGCATGCAAGCCATGGAGGGCTCTGCTCAGCCAGCTTGAAGCCATACATACCTTGGGGGACACAGACATAGCAGGTGATGGCCCTGCTGTTCCGTAGTTGGGTGGTGGATCTTGCAACTGTGAGTCTCTGGTAGTGGAGGGGGAGGACAGAGGAAGTGTTTGGAGCTTCCTGGTGTCAGTCTGGACCCCCTGAAGTCAACACCTGTCCCTAAAGCTCTGAAGATCCTAAACCATCTCCCAAGAAACTCAGGGCCAACTACTATTCAGAAAGAAACAACAAAGCATTTTTTAATTGTTATTTGGTGATTTTTTTTCTTTTGGGGAAAAATTTTCTTTTTGACCCCAATAAAGAATAAGCCCTTAACACCAGGTGCTCGGTGGTTGCTGCATAACCTCTGGACGCCCACAGTCAAGGCCAAAGCCATTGTCATCTTTGTGATGAGGAGCTTGTGGCCCCACATTCCCCACCCACCCTGGCATCTGTCAGCAGAGAAAGCTGGTTCTTTCATGCTGTGGGCACCCATCAAAGAGATAGGGAAACTTCCGCTGCCTGCTGAGGTCACCCAGGAAGCACCAGCTCTCTCACCATGGATAATGAGGTGGCTGAGACTGTTAGTCTGTGTTCTTGCTCCAAGAACTGCCTATCATTCTGCCTTGCTTTGCTGCTGGAGTCAGCTGCGGAGTTCTGTTCGAGGCTGTTTCCCATCTCAGTACTGAAGGCCAGCACGTTATGGATCCGTGTCTGTAGGGAGTTGGTGACATCTGAAGTTGGTCAGTCTCTCAGGCTCAGCTGCTGCTAGGCAGATCAAGGCCTCGGCTAGCAGGACTGAGAAGCAGATCTTTTGGGGGGAGGGAGCAATTGCTGAAGCCGGATCTAGTTTCTTTGTGGTTCTAGAGGGGATCTGTGGCTTCCACTTTGACACGGTATTGACTGTGAGGTAGGCTTTCGGCAGGAACTGTTCCGCTGCTGCTGCGGCTCTTTCTGGAGTATCATGTCTGTAGCCAATGTTTTCTTTTCAAAACAGTCAAAAATGTGAGAAATGACTATAATTGTACAAGCAAACGTACTTTGGTGGAAACAAAACATTTCCTATGCGTGCACACGAATGGCAGTTCTCACTGGAGTTCTTCTCTTACCAGGCCTTAATTTGATTTGATTTCCCTCCTTTCCGCCAACATTTTCCCATGAATGTTCAAATAAATTACAGAAGAAAAAGACAAAAGAGCTGGAGAGAGGAAAATGTTCAAAGTCCATGGCCTTTCCCTCTTCCGAACTTGGAAGATAATCCTAATTATGCTATGAAGTACGTTAGAGGAGGCATTTGTACAGTTGCCTTTTTAGCTTCGTGTCTGAACAGGGCTGCCCACTCTTTCTCAAATCCCACATGGCTCTGGCCATAGGCACTATTTCTTAGGGCCTTTCACTCTTCTCTAGCTGTATCCTGGGGTTTCTGGACTTGGTTCCTATTTGTAACATCTTGCACAATGAGGGTTGCTTTTGGGACTTCTTCCAGCATGCTTTCCTGGGAACCAGATCCCAGGCTTCCGCAGCTTTAACTTGGCTAGAAGCGAGCAGGTCCGGAGTCTGCCAAGTTCATCATGTTTCCTCTCATTTCAGCTGAGCTTTCAGCACAAAATTGGGATCCTGTACTGCAAAGCTGGGCAGAGCACGGAAGAGGAAATGTACAACAACGAGACAGCAGGGCCAGCCTTCGAGGAGTTCCTGGACCTCCTCGGCCAGAGAGTGCGGCTGAAAGGCTTCAGCAAGTATCGTGCCCAGCTGGACAATAAGAGTAAGCACGTGTGCAAGTGCATGTGTGCAAGTGCATGGGTATGCAAGTGTGTATGCAAATAGCCTGTGTAGCTTGTGTTTGTATATGTGTGAGTTCCTGTGTTTTTGTGAGTGTATGTTTACGTGCATGTGTATGTGAGTAGCCTGTGTATTTATATGCATGTTTATGTGTGTTTATATACATTTAAAAACAACAGATGACTAGCTTTACAATCAGTAGTTCAGACACCACCATTCTTGTTTATAATATGTATGTATGGTGTGTGTGTGTGTACATGTTTAAGTGCATTGTGCAGGATGCATGCAGGTTCATGTGGAGACCAGAGGTCAATGTCAGTATCCTCCTATATTGTTTTCCACCTTATGCCTTTTAATTTTTATTTCTCATGTGTGACCCTGAATGCACAACACCACAATGGGTATGTGGAGGTAGATCATAGAACAACTTGGAGCAGTCAGTTTCCTCTTCTCATGTTATTGAGGCAGGGTGTCTCGTTTCTGATACTACATGAAGTATCCCAGGCTATCTGAGCCCTGTGAGTTGGGGCAATTCTGTTTCCACCCCCTATCTTGCCATAGAAAGGCTGGGATTATGGGTGTATCAGCCCCGTGTCCTTCTGGTTTGTGTGGGTTCCGGGGATCAGTCTTGGATCTTCTAGCTTATGTGGCAATAGCTATCACCTGCTGAGCTAGCTCGCTGGTCCATCCACTTGACTCTTTAAATGGGTTTTCACTGAGCCTGGAGCTCACTGATGAGGCTGCGCCTGCTGGCCAAGTGCAGTCATACACTCCTCACCTCGACTTTCACATGGGAGCTGCAGAGAGAGCCTCGCTCACTTCCCCACACTCACTTGGCAAGCACCCTACCGACGGAACTGATTCCCCAGCCTCACTACCATTTCTTAACATGTGTGTTTGTGCAGGAAGGAGGTACAGAAAGAGACCATAATCTCCCCTCCCGGGTCCCTGAATTGATGAGAGCATGCTCAGTAGAAAGTTGACAGGAAAGCAGAGGTCTGGGGGGGGGGGTGCGGGCAGCTCCAGGTGAAAGCTGCTAACAACTGGGCTGAGTGCCAGCGAGGTTTCCACACAGTGTAGCTTATGCTTTTCAACCCAAATACCTTTTGCAGAAATCACCATCTAAGTGGTAGAGCTCTGATTCTGTGCTTGCCTAACTAGCTTTATAATTACTTTGTTTTCAGCGGATTCCACAGGGACTCACTCCCTCTATACCACATACAAAGACTTTGAACTCATGTTCCACGTGTCGACGTTGCTTCCATATATGCCAAACAACAGGCAGCAGGTAAGGCCTCCTGTGTGCGTCATGTATGTCCCCATTCCCATGTCCACCAGCACATCCATCCAGCCTCCCATACCCACCGTGCAGCTGGGGAAGAGTTAGACTGAAATTTTACATTTAAGCCGTAGGCTGCTCCTGTTAAGGTGACACTCTGACTGTTACTGTAGCATATCTGAGCCTTTATGGGAATATTGTTGTATTTTTAATTGATCAGGAAACTGAGAAGCTGACTATGCAGACTTTTTAAGAGAACCCCATGTCTACCATGTTAATTGTGAGAACAACTGTGTTGACCGACAGGTTTCTACATGTGGGTAAATAACTTATTTATAGAAAATATTAACTGCAGTGGGAGCTAAACCTGTTCTTGGCTGCTGCTCCTCATTGGGGTTTTATTTCATTATTTAATGACACAGTGTATTGACCCTTTGTAAAATGGGCAAAGGATTCTTCTACACTGGCAGTCACTCCTACAGACTTAAGAAGTGTTGAAAGCTTAACGATGCCTGAAACACCACAAAGTAATTAACAGGATGTTTTGTAGAGCTATAAAATAGAGTTTCATTTTGTTTGTTTGTTTGTTTTTTAACTGAAATTACTAGAATTGATAGCAAATACTGGCAGTGCTGTGGCTGCTCTGTGAACTTGGGAGTTGGGGGCATGTAAGGTGGTCCTATGGAGTAGCAGCCCCACCCCTAGCCCCTCTAAAGGAAGAAGGCTGCCTGAGTGTCTGGAGACGGCTCCTAGGGAAGGTCATAGCTGCTAGGATGTGATTTGTGGCATTTGTATTGGAGTTAAGACAGGACTGAGGTAGAGTCCTTTCTGAGCGTTTACATTTTGAACACAACACCTGCCTTCCTGTGCACAGAGACCACAGGGTAGCCCTAGAGAGACTGTCTGAAGACTGAGACATAATTAATGGCAGAGAATTACTTCATTTCCTTTTTAGTTTAATTTTATTTATTTTATTTTATGTGTATGAGTGTGTGCTGGGAACTGGTGCTGCAGATGGCTGTGAGCCACCATATGGGTGCTGAAAACCAAACCTGGATCACCTAGAAGAGCAGCCAGTGCTCTTAACTGCTGAGCCATCTCTTCAGCCCTGAATTTTCTCATTTCTTAAACATTTGTGAAATCCATGAATTGAATCAAAACTTATATATGTTTTTCCCCAAAGAAGAAACCAGCTGCCTCTTCCCCCTCCCACTAGTTTTAAGCCCCAAAGGTCCTTCAGCTAGGAAAAGCACTGGTCTTTGCCCTGAGGAATAGTGCTTCAAACTTTGCTCCCCCGCTTCTCGGCACTCCCCAGCTGAACGTTTTCCTTAGACTCTTAGCTCGGTCCTTGACCTTCCTGAGTGACCTGCAGCATTTTCTAGTATTGACTGTTCTTCCCCCTTCATCTTTGGAAGGTCTATCCCTAGATTCCTGGGATTACCAGCCTTCACTGCCAGCCCTGACTGTCAGCCCCTGAACAGCATCATGTGCAGTATGCCCAAATTTTATTGTTACTGTTTTATAAGCCCATAGGTGTGGCTCATGGGTATTTTAGATGACTAAATTAGCCTGTTGGCTTTGCCCCCATTGCTAAAGATCTGGATGCCTCAATAGTTTGGGCAACTTTCTTCACCCAGGCATTTGGTAGACTTTGCTGATTGCAAGCTGCTGGCGGGATGTTCTGGTTTTAGCTAAACAGTGGCACTCTCTGATCATGGGCATGGCTATTAAAATTTTGCCACAGGCTCTCCTGATCCTTCCCATTTCTCTCATCCCACAAATAATGCCCACAAACCTAATAGCAAAAGCAGAAAAGTCTGAAGGGCCAGCCTCATGGTAACTGCCATCGGACTCAGCCCAGCTGGAACCCCAACTCTGCCTGTACCCCTGGTCTTATTAGCAACAGAGTGTTTGTAACTTGCTAACTGGTCCAGGCTTGTCCTCAGAGGATCTGATTTCGTGTGTTTGTTCCTGTAATAAATCAATCTGGGAGCTGCTTGTTGAGGTAGTCAAGTCCCGGGAACATTCAGCAGGCCTGAGCCCTTCCCACAGGAGAAGCTTTGCTGGTCCCTGGACCCCAGATCTCTCCACAGGATAAGCTCACACTGGTCTCTCCTGAGGCTGTGTTTCCCGCGCGCCCCTCCTCTGACCAAACCACGGCTCAGCCAGCATGTGACGTCATCACCAAGAACTTCACAGGGCAACTTCAAACCTCACCTTGGCAGAGACACCCTTTCCTCAGAGTAGGCTCCTGAAAGAGGAGACAGCTCAGTGCCTGGCACACTGTAACCTTTTCTTTCTTAGTGCATATGTGAAGTTCAGGTGGCCCTGACCAGAAGGGGCATCAAACCCTGTGAATTACTCAAGAGTGACCGGGCCCTTGGGTTTTGTTTATACTCATAGTGGCCTTACAGGCTGCAATGCTTGGGTTGGGATGGCCTGGGTTAGACTGGCTCCAGGCCCTGCTGTGAAGGGTTTGGCACCTTCTGGGTCCTGGTTGCTACAGCTGATGAGCACTTGGATCCCAGAGCAGCCTGGCTTGTTGAGTGCTCTCTGAGCAGATCACGGTGACGCCTGTGTCCCCCTGACTGACACTGTCTGCCAGGATACAGCACAGACGTGGCTCTGTGGTTCGCCTCTTCCCCAGTCCTGCGTAGGAATGACACCAGCTTGAGGGCTGCCGTGGAAGCTGAGGGCTGGGAGAGGCCTTTTCCATCTTGGCCTTGTCAGGAAGGCACTGAAAATCCTCGCTCTGCTCTGTGTCTTCTTCTTTATCCGTACAGTATCATTGCTTGGCTGCTTTGTACATTTCCTCTTGTGTCAGTAAAGAATGGTCATGTGAGATGGTAAATCAGTGATGAGTGTTTGAAACATCAGTTAAATTGGAGGTGGACTTGCTGATGGGAACCAAGAGCTACCAGCTAGCTTTTGTGCTTCTGTGTGGAGCAAGAAAGGCTGTCTTTGGGAAGGCAGGCCTTGTTTAACCGTATGAGGCTGTCTGCCTCTGTTGGTGTGTTGGTGCTTTGAGACAGGGACCTACTGTATGCCGCATGCTCGTCCTCAGTCTGGAGTGCCAGGGGACACAGTGCACAGTGAGTGCTCTGGACTCGTGTGGTGCAGGGCCCCTGCCAAGCCTTTGGCGGTCTCAGCCCTGCCATCAGTCTGAGATGACCTGTGCTTTGGAAACTAAGTGAGTGATGGGCGGGACAGGCTTTTGTGTTCTGTATTCTACAGCTGTGTCCACCCACAGCACCAGGCCTATTTCTCCTTTAACAGTTGCTTCATTCCTGATCTTCTTGTGTCTGGTCACATGTGAAAAGAAGCTTTTCAGGTATCAGGGAAGAGGAGAGAACTGTTTTGACTAATGTAGTTTTTACTGTGGTTTTCTTCGTTTTTTAGCGTGAATTTGAAATGGTACATTTTACTTAGAGATATATCAGAGTCTGTTATAATTGTGAATTTGACCTGCTACTGTGTATTAATACATGTTTCAAGACTTCTCTGGCGGTACAGTGATTTCCCTGTGCTGAGAAAGTTAACCACAGGGTAGAAGTGGGACTCTTCCCGGCTGTGACCATGGGTCTCACTGGCCCCTGGAGAACTCTGAGGAGGAGCTTTGCATTTTCACTTCCTGAGCTCTTTGTGAGTTACGGTAAAAGCCAGGGAGCTAGCTATGGCTCCTTTTTATTTCTGAGTTTAAAAGGTTTTAAAAGTTGAACTTGATGCCCTGGACCATGAAACATGTTCTGTAGGTGCCAAATAAACTCAAGGGCAAGGCCAGTGAAGGGAGATTTACTGCTGGAGATGGGCACAGTCCTGCAGTGACGACACCAGCTCTTTGAGGGGTGACTGGCTACATCTGAAGTGGGGGAGGGGAGGCCTCACTTCCATGCTGCTGGCCTGTATTTCCAGGGGGGCCTACTGTGTGGGGGTCTTGGCGTGTAGTCACTGGAAGGTGAGCATGGTTTGAATGCCCAGTGTAAGGGTTGTGTGCCTCGTTTATTCACTTAGCAAATGTGTATTGGGTGCCCACTTGGTGCTGGGCATGCCTTTGGAAGTCAGGAAGCTAGTCAGGTTATCTCCTGTCCTTGGGAAGACCACAACCTATATAGGAACATAAACCAGCCAGTGGAAGAGAGTGGTGCCTGGGTGACCCAGGTATGAGGGTAGAGTGGAGATGCAGCCTTGACAGACTTCTCACTATCAAAACGTCCGAGAAAGTCGATGTGGACAAGGAAAAGATTTATCATAACTCATAGCTTCCAACGTTTCAGCTCATGGTCACTTGCCTCTGTGTTTCTGGTCTCTGTAGTGAGGTAGGAGGGCATGTCAGAGAAAAGCTATGTACCTCATGGCATCTGGAAGACTGGAGGCAGGATACAAGACACGCCCTCCAGGGCCCTCCCACGGTATCCTGCTTTCTCCAACCAGGCTCCACCTCCCCAATTTCACCCCTTCCCAGTGCTTTCCATTATGAGTCCTTCCATAGATTTATCCACTGGAGGTTGGGGTCCTGGGGACTACCTCACTTTGCCAGAGTGCCCCTGTGAGCTCTGCTGCTTGAGGTTTGGGGAGACATTTCAGATCCAAGCCTCAGTAGCAGAGAGGATTGTCCGGGTGAGGTGTGCCAAGACCTCATTGCACATCGACACAGGAACTGTCCAGGAAGAGCTTGGAATGAAGAGCATTCTTGGCAGAAGTGATGTCAGAAGCAACTCTGGCTTCTTCCTCTCCCCTGGACTTTCAGTTTTATAAGATTATAAAAGATAGGGTTTTCTAGCTGCTAGTGTAGTGGAATTCTGGATTCATTAATTAATATGGATCGTATCAAAAAGCCTAGTTTCAGTTAATTAGTTTGAAGACCTATGCTACCCATGGAGGCAGCCTCCTGGTTTTCTTGCAGAAATGCAAGCCAGCATGGGAGCCAGGCTGTGTGTACAGTAGGTCACCCCTCCCTGAACCCCGTCTCCTCCTCTGAGTTGTAGTGCTTAAAATATAACATGTCTTACAAGTATATTGAGCACTAGTATGCTCTTTTATAATGAAAGATACATCTGGATAAGATAAAAGGAAAGAAAATAGAAGTGGATTTCTAAGTAAAATGGATAGCTGGGGTTATAGTGAAGGATAGCCCACTTCCCTCCCCGGGGCCCATGTCATGCTCTCTCTGATGACCTTGGGTGTTTAGATTTCTGTTCCTGAGGGTCTTCTGCTTGTGACACCCAGCTGTCAAGATGCTCAAGGCCATTGGAACCCAGGAAGGGCTCCGCTTCTCCTTGTTCCTTCCTCAGCTGAGGACGAGCAGGTTGTCTGTATCAGTGTATTTTGTGTCACTCTGGGTATTTCCTTCCCTGCACAGCTTCTGAGGAAGAGGCACATTGGGAACGACATCGTCACCATCGTCTTCCAGGAGCCTGGTGCCCTCCCGTTCACCCCCAAGAACATCCGCTCACACTTCCAGCATGTCTTTGTCATAGTGAGGGTGCACAACCCCTGCACAGAGAACGTGTGCTACAGGTGAGCCTGGGCCCTGCCTCCCATTGGCTTTCAGTTCCTCTCCTGCACCCATAACTACCGAATTTCCCTCCCTCCATTAGTCCCTCCTCCCTCCTCTTCCACTGTGTGGCCTAGGCTGGCCGGGAACTCAACCTCCCAAGTGCTGGGACTGTAACCTGCCTGATAGTCATTTTTATTTCCTTTTGATAGTGCTGGGAATTGAAGCCAGGACTTTGTGTGTGCTAGGCACGTAATCTCCCACAGAGCTACATTCCCTAGCCTTCCTCATTCTGAATTTTTGTAAGCAGTAGTTGCTTCCCTCCATTGAAGAAGGAAGTACCTGGCTACTCAGAGTAGTGGGCTTCCATTTTCTGCTTTCCTGAGAGACTGCACCAGGGCGCATGGCTGGCACCAGCCTCTCAGCTAGGTGGGGTGGCCTGTTAGGGAAATGAATGGCAGGTGAAATCCTAGAGACGCCCAGGCCGAGCCACTGAGACCCAGCACCCACTTGCCTTGTGACTTCAAGGCCCCAAGCCCATCTTCACTGGGCCTGCTTTGAGTCCTGGCTCCTATGTGGGGCGCTGTCTTAGGCGGTGACCAGGATGAATGACTGCTGTGTGTTGATGGAGTGCCCCTGCCTTACTGCTTGTGTTGGGGTATGGGGTTTCTTTATTTTCCTTTTTTCTTCACTTTTCCATTTTCATCGTGTGTGTGCCTGTTTTGTATGTATGGGCACACTTCTGGGAGTGTCCACATGTATGTGTATGTGTGCATGCAAATAGAGGACCAAAGTTAATGTCAGGAGTCTTCCTTGGTGGCTCTTCTCCCTTATTCACCAAGGCAGGGTCTCTCAGTTAAGTCCAGAGCTCACGGGTACAGTTTCTGGGGATCCGAACTCTGGTCCTCAGGTTCGTGCAGCACGTGCTCTAACCACAGAGTCTCTCTGCTTCTCTTATCCTTCAATTCCTTGTCTTAACGTGGAGGACTCCCACACCACTGAGGAAAATGAGTATGCTGCATGAATAACTTTGAGCAAACAGGTGCCAAGGTCCTCATGGACAGCAAAGCCCTGGGAAGCTAGAGGCCCTGCCCCACAGGCACGACACCAGTCTGAGCACTCTGGCCCTGCCCCATGTGCAGCCCATTTGAAAACACCCTGGAAACCACTCGTTCCTAGCTTACCTCCTGAGCAACTTGCAAATCATGAGGAATCTCTGGCCCATGTGAAGGATCTCCTTCATGAGGCCTGGAGTCAAACACAAGGTCAAGCTTTCCTCTCATGATGACTGTTGGTGTACCCCTGGCCTAGGCCACTGGCCTACCTTAAGAAAGGCATAGTCGAGAGAATATGTAATGTATGTTCTATATAAACACTGCTTAAACCAAGTGGTATTGGTGCAAGCATGGTGAGTCGCATCTCAGGAGTTTCTGGAGCCTTCCTCAGCAATAGGCCAGGTCTACAGCTTTATGGATTTGGTACTGTTTTATTGGATGCTATTTTTAGTCAAAGCAAGCGTTTTGGTTACTTTTCTTGTTGTTATGACAACATGGCTGTCAGGCACTCTAAGGGTTAAAGACTTGTTTTGGTTCACAGTTTCCACCTGTCTTAGTCGGGAAGATCTGGCAGGGACTCCTCACACCTTGATGTCCCACATGCAGAGTGCTCTGGCTGAAGGCAAAGAAGTTGCCTTTAAGGCCTGCCCCTGGTGGTGGGCATCTACCAGCTATGTTCCATGTCCACAAGGTCCCACTAGCTGGGGACTGAATATTTAAACACATGAGCCTGTGAGGACATTTCCCATTTAGACCACAGCAGGCATTTGAAAGTACTTCCTGCCTTTATTCTTGGATCATGTCCTGTCTTCTGTTCTATACTGTGAGATGATTTGTTAGCACAAAATACTTTGGAGGCACGTATATTTTTTTTCTTTCTTTCTTTCTTTCTTTCTTTCTTTCTTTCTTTCTTTCTTTCTTTTTTTTTCTTTTTTTTTTTTTGGTGCTAGTTAAATTACTGTGGGAGGACTATTTTCCAAACCAGCGTACGTCTTTTATAGAGCATAGCACTTCTCATTGTTCTTCTGTGTAGATAATGGAATATTTTGGTTCTTCTGAGAGTCACTGGCTTTTAAAAAATCAGAATGTAGCCACTCATTTAATATTTACTGATTTGGTTCAAATGAAAGCCAGTAGAGTGTCTCAAATATTTGGTGGTACCCCAACAGAATCATTGATCCTTTTAAAATTAATAATAAGAGTCTACAAAATAGATGGGCTGACCAGCATGTGTGGGAACCTGTCACCTTAAAGAAGGAAAGACAGAGCCATGACTCTGCTCATTTCATTTTTCTTTCTTCCTCAGCGTTGGCGTTTCCAGGTCAAAGGATGTCCCTCCCTTCGGTCCCCCAATTCCCAAAGGTGTAACTTTTCCAAAGTCAGCTGTATTCCGGGACTTCCTTTTAGCCAAAGTAATCAATGCAGAAAACGCAGCCCATAAGTCAGAAAAATTCCGGGCCATGGCTACTCGAACGAGGCAAGAATACTTGAAGGACTTGGCTGAGAACTTTGTCACGACCGCCACAGTGGACACTTCTGCGAAATTCAGCTTCATCACCCTGGGTGCAAAGAAGAAGGAACGCGTCAAACCAAGGAAGGATGCACACCTGTTCAGCATCGGGGCCATCATGTGGCATGTGGTGGCGCGGGACTTCGGCCAGTCAGCGGACATTGAGTGTCTGCTTGGGATCTCTAACGAGTTCATCATGTTGATAGAGAAGGACTCCAAGAATGTTGTGTTTAACTGTTCCTGCAGGGATGTGATTGGCTGGACCTCTGGGTTAGTGAGCATCAAAGTCTTCTATGAAAGGGGAGAGTGTATCCTGCTGTCCTCCGTGGATAACTGTTCCGAAGACATCCGAGAGGTAGTGCAGCGGCTCGTGGTGAGTATGGCTTGTGTCCCACTGTCTGTACTTCATAGTCCCAGCAAGCTGTGCCGGGAACTCCACCCGTGATTTCAGGGCTTGGGCAGTCAGATGCTGTTCCAGTGAGGGCTGAGTTCTTTCGTTTGTTTGTTTGTTTTGTTTTTCTTTTGAGATAAGGTCTCGCAGATTCAGGCCAGTTTTGAACTCACCATGTAGCCAAGGGTGGCCTTGGACTTCTAATCCACTTTCACTTCGTGAGTGCTGTGATTACAGCCGTGATCTACCATATCCGGTTTTATGTGGTGCTGGAGATCGCACCCAGGGGCTCCTGCATGGTAGTTGAGCACGCCACCCACTGAGCCACGCCCCTAGCCCTGCTGGTTGTTTTTTAATGAGAGTCATTAACCACCATGGTGAAGAAGCCGCCCACAACCACATGATGAGAAAAGCTGAGCCAACTTCAAAAGAACTGTTTCTGTAATAGTTGAAGAAAAACCAGGAGAATTTTTTTATACGTTTGTGTGATGGACACAACACACCTTAAAAAACAAAGAATTGCTGTCTGCTAGCGACTGGGTCCTCTCTCCTGCTCCCTGTGTGCATGTTTGTATAACAAATGTTTTGATTTAAATATGTTAATCTCTCGTATTTCACGAACGTGGGCATTAAATGGAAAAAACCTAAAAAAATGAAAAAAGTCATCCGCCTTCAAAGAGACTTCTAAAAGAGAGGATTCCTTGGGGCTGGGTGGGGCAGATGAGTCAGCTGGTAAAGAGCCCCCCGCACGAGGACCCATATTACATCCTGAGCACACATGGAAATAGGCATGGTGCCCTGCCCCTGTAATCCCAATACTGAGGAGGCAGAGATAGGGGAACCCCTGGGGCCTGCTGGCCAGCCAGCCTCACCTAATCTTAGGTTATAATAATAATACAATAAAAAGACCTCATCTCAAAAATCAAGGTGGACATCTCCTGGGGACTGACACCCAAGATTGACCTCTGGTCTCCGTACACATATACATGTACCCACATGCACACACATATCAAGATAAAAGATGGGGTCTAGCCAGGCGATGATGGTGCATGCCTTTAATCTGAAGGCAGATCTCTGTGAGTTTGAGGCCAGCCTGGTTTACAAAGCAAGTTCCAGAGCAGCCAGAGTTGTTACTCAAAGAAACCCTGTCTCAAAAAAAAAAAAAAAAAAAAAAAGATGGGGTCTTGCCATGTAACTCAGACTGTCTGGAGCTTACATTATATCCCAGGCCAGCTTCAAACTTGAGATCCTCTTGCCTCAGCGTCCCAAGTGCTGGGATTATAAGTGTATGCCACCATGGCCTAATGTGATTTTTAACCCCCAAACCCCTACATTGTGCCAAAGATGTGAAACAGTCACATTTTTGTTCCCAACTTTAACAAAGCGAATTCAGATTCTCTTTGGGTGTGTACAATAGAGCAATAGCAATAAATTTGCTGTTTGGATTTCTTGGTGTAATATAAGAACAAAGCATGTTTGGGCCATAAAACATCTCATTATTAACTCCTTTCCCAAGGAGGATGTATCACATAGCCAACTGAGACTCATTAAAAAGGATATGGAGTCCTTCCTGTCCTTTCTTCCCACGGAGTGTGAGTCTCTCTTTCACTATCAGAAGGCCAGTGTGAGAAAGAGTAAAATCAGTTAGCACTGGTCAGTGTTGGAGTGGTTACAGTCACTGCAGACAATGTCTACAGAAGACCATCGTGTCAGAGCTGGTAGGGACACCGCTTTTTTGTACATGGTGCACTTACTGTCAATTGCCTTTGGTACAGAGTACAGCCAGAAGTGTACATTGTGCATACAGGAGGCGGGGAGAGCTCACTCCCAAAGGGACCTTGGGTATGCCATCTGAGTCCTGGAAAGGCATCCTGAGGAGGGCCACTCTTGGATAGAGGTCCCCTGTCACACGTTCAGCTCCTAATAGATTTTGAGTAAAGACCCTACATTTGTGTTGTCCAGTGGGCCCCACAAATTATGTAGCTGTTCCCAGGTATGTGGATGGGAGACTGCTTTTTTCCCCAGGTTATTGAGTCTGCGTAAATATGTGAGGCACTCCAGAAGCAAGGAGTCTTTGGTCTGACTTCAGGAATGTCTGAAAGCAGGAGACAATAATAATATGATAATGAAGGGGAGGAAGTCAGAAACAAAGCCTGGCCAATGCTCTTCCATCTAGTACCTCATAGTGAGTTTCAGGTAGCAGTTGAATTCATATCTGCCAGCACACAGGCGAGTTAGATGCTGCCTGTGTTAGGGCTGCTTAGAACAAAGTTGAAAAAGAGGTGAAGAAAATGTCTATCGAGGTTGGACACTACGGAATTGCTCTGTTAGCAGTGTGAAATTGATTCAGATCCTTGAAAACGTGAACCTTTTGGAACTTCACTCCTCACTGACACGAGTGTCCCCTTTCTGCTGAGTCCCCAGCATCACGCTGGTCTCAGAGAAGCCAACTGGCAGTGTGTGCACTTTTGTAACCATGGAAACCTAGGCCAGATGCTGATGCAGGGAGCAAGCCACAGCTCCCCAGCTGTACTCACAGCCACGGGGCTCGTTAATAGGAATGCATGTGTTGAGAGCCAGGTTCCTGGAAACAGAGTTTACTGAACTGAAACTCCATACACTGCCCCCAGGGCTTTGGAGATGGGGGGGATGATACCTCCCAACTTGAAATTTCCCACAAAAAAAAAAAAAAAAATGATGTCATCATCTTCAAATGATGTTTAATGAGCTGGCTTTTCCTTTCATGGCGTTGCAAGCCACATTGCATCAGTGCCTCAGAGGATTACCGTGACTAATTACCTCACTTGCACACCAAGCCACTGAACTGGCTCTCTCCTGTTCTTCTTGGGGTGCTGTGTAGATTCCTAGTCTTCCAGAGGAGTGTCACTGAAACTGCCTGGGGTGACCCTGAGCCTCCAGGGCATAGTTGAGAGAAGGAAAGGTGGCTGAAGGAACAGAGGGCCCCTCTGCCACCCACAAGCCCCATATCGATCAAAAGGGCCCTTGGTACCAGATGGACATGGGTGGTCACTCCCAGGAGGCCTGACAGAACAGACTAGGAGTCTTCAGACCAGTGAGAGAAGGACAGCTGAGGGTTTTCTCACAGTCCAGTCTCCCCTGGGCTCTTCCTGAACACGGGGGTAGTGACCGAGTGTGAGATCAGAAGTACTTTGGGCCATGTTTTGTTGTTTGCTTTTGAGTTACATCCAAATATCCAGTAGGCCTTAGAGTCTGGTGGTTGAGACAGAAAGAACAAGGTCGTCTCATTCCGTCTCTTGCAATAATCCATCTAGGAGAGTAGAATTCAGGGCTTCCGAGTCCCGGTAGCTGTCAGGGAGTGGAGAGATGGCACACACATGCAAAGCTCACAGACTGCTCGACGCAGCTTCGCGAGAGCCAGGCTGCCTGCTGTACTCTCCGTGGTCTGAAGACTGAAACCCGGGGCTTGGCTTTCGTTGCTCTTTGTCAAGGGCAACCATGGTGAACTCTGGATTCAGATGTCTTCTCCGATCACTTGGGGGGTGGTGATTAGGGATAGAGCCGGGGGAGGGGGGCACTCACTTAGATAATGTGTGTGGGTCCCCAGTAGGGTCCCATGTAGCCAGGGAGAAAGACCAAACCTGTGTCTAATAGCTTCCTTCCCCCTTAGATAGTGACAAGAGGCTGCGAAACTGTGGAAATGACCCTGAGGAGGAACGGACTGGGCCAGCTCGGCTTCCATGTGAACTTTGAAGGAATTGTTGCCGATGTAGAACCTTTTGGCTTTGCCTGGAAAGCGGGCCTTCGCCAAGGGAGCCGTCTCGTGGAGATCTGCAAGGTGGCTGTGGCCACCCTGACCCACGAGCAGATGATTGACCTACTGCGGACATCCGTGACTGTGAAGGTGGTCATCATCCACCCCCATGAGGATGGCTCTCCCCGCAGGTAAGACCAGGTGGCTGGGCAGTGTGCACCATCACAGACACATTCCTCCCTGCCTGTGGGATCCTCAGAGAGCCAGTCAGATGTCTCTGTGAGTGCAATGGGTAAAGAACTTTAGATGGGCAGGTGATGTGTAGTCACTGGCAGGTTATGACTCTAAAGAGTGTCACAGAGTGCATTGACTCTGTGAAACTGAGTCACCACAGACCAGGGGAGTGGTCCATTGGACTCCCCTGGCCTATGGAGACTTGAGTGTGCATAGCATAACCTTCACATGCAACCTGCACACCTCATCAATCAACAAGATGGATAGCAACAGGGCTGCCTGTCTGAAGGAATGTGGGACAGCAGGTAGATTCTGGAGGCCTTGCTGCTCTCAAGCTGATGCTACAGAGGTGTCAAGTGGGTCCAGGGTATCCTTGTAACCTGTCCTGAAAACCAGGAAGTGAGGTACCTCCACTGGAAGGCCAGAGGTATACAGGTGGTGAGAAGAGGCAGGGGTGGGAGTGGGGAGTGGCCTGTCTGCCACTGACAGACAGTCATGGTACTTAGCCTCAAGGAAGCACACCAAGTGCGTCTAACCTGTGGCCTGGGAACCACATGCACCTCAAGCAAAGACTGCTACGAATTGTAAATATATTTAAAACATTAGCAGGTGTGTGCGTGTGTGTGTGTTTCTTTTAGTGAACATGTGTGGATGACAAGTCATGTTTCAGTGTCAGAAGTTTGACTGCCAATCAGACCATAGGGCAGAGGACACTAGTTAGGACCATGCTCCCTGCAGACCATAGCCCATGTTGGTGTGGTGGGTCTCTGGTGGCCACATCTCCCACGCAGCTTGTGTCCCCATTCAGGTAGAGTCATGAGGCAGATTCTGAAGCTTACCTCTTGGGAGGATGGAGGAGCCAAGTTCTGTGGCTTCTGCTGCGTGCTCATGGGGAACACAGACATTCTAAAGTTCTTTCCACATCTGCAACATAGGGACCCTTGGATGGTTTTATATATATATATATATATATATATATATATATATATATATATATATATATATATATATATAAAGCTCAAATAATAAGACCTCTTAAAGCATTCAGAACTTTCTAGCATAATTAGTGTTGGGAGCGGGGAGACAGCTTTAAGTCCACTCAGGTTTCTGTTATCTTCACAAAGGGACTTTCTGGTACAGGCAGTAGGTTGGCCGCCGGTACCTTCTGGACTCATGATACCGGGTGTCCTTCCTCCCTCCCCCCAGGGGCACATGCCTGTTGCATGTGTGCCATGCCCGGGCCACAGGCAGCTGTCACACACTTGAAGTGTGGCTGAGTTTTTCACTTTAATTAATTCAGTTTAACTAACCACAGGTGGCTCTAATGGCTGCTCTTTTGGGGAGCTTGGCCCTAACTGGGGATCTTTTAGAAAACAAACGGCTCGTGTGTCATCTTGGTTCTGCAGTTAACATGCCGAAGTTTGTGAAGTCCATTGGATTAGGTTTAGCATTTGCTTGCAGCCTGATGTGTTTGTTTTTGTGAGGCTGGGGATGGAACCAGGGGCCTGTGCACACTAGGCATGGACTCCCTGAGCTGCAGCCCTAGCCTTTCAGTGGCCATGTTCCCTATATTTGCCCAATATCTTTATAAGATAAAGGCTTAAAGAGCTGAAATCCCTCTTAGTGTTAAAGGCCTAGCCCCGCAAAGCCCCCTAGAGGTTTCTCATAGCCTCGCCTTGCCCAGTGTTGGCCATTAGACCCATCTGTGTGACTGTCTGTCTGTCCATTCATCAGTCCCCACCCCCACCCCACCAAGGGACTCCAAGAACTATACTTTAGTGTATATATAAAGAAAGATAAAGAGCTATTTTACAAGAACAAGACTCAGGTGGACTAGGAGCACATCTTCCTTCCGGCCTTCCTAGAAGGCTCATGTATCCTGTAAGTGAACATCTTTCACGGTAACTTTTAGCCCATCTGTGGTGGGAATCCGTACGTGTGACTCCTGGTAGGGAGGGTCAGGTCTTCAGGCTCTCTTCAGACTGACTACTGCAGAACCGAGTAAAAAGGTTTCCAGGCCTTATCTAGGTTTGCTCTGCTGTTGCTCTGTGAGAAACTCTCGGAGCTTTCAAGAATGTTGGATAATAAAATAGCAACATTTTCATTACGCCTGGTATTTCAGTCATACAGTTTCAAAGAATAGAATTTCCTAAGGAATATTGACTTGTTTTTCAGCCAAAACAAATAAACAGAACTATGGTGTGAATGTTTTGCTGCTATCTTTTCCTCAAGAGCATGTTTTTCCTCTAAAGAGACTTTCTTATCAGCCTGGATCTGCCTATAATTAATTCTTTGTTTTAAATGCAATTGAAAATAGCCAGGATATTTATTCAGAGCCTTTGCCTTTGTTAATGCCCTTCCCCAAGCACATGGTCCCTTTCTTCTTTATAGTGCACAGTCACCTTCTTCTGTTTTCACCTTTGGGAGAAGGTTCTGGAGTTTTAAGCCCAGCACACATCAAATGGGATTCTCCGTTGTTTCCTCATTCTTTGTGAATCTGAATTGGAGCCTTTTTAAAGTTAGTATTTTCATTTCTTCCTGATTCATTTTCACTTCTGATATCTATGGGCCATGATAACAGTATTTGCTGTATTCAGATATCTTCTGTGACCTGCAGTCCCCTGTCACACTAGCTCTCAGCTGTGGCATGTGCAAGAAGTGCTGTTCTTTGTGTCACAGCTATTTTCCGGCACAGTCCTGTGCACAGTCAATGTGCCCTGGACTGTCGGCATATTGGAAAGAGAGTGTATGTGTTGCACACGTGTACCTGTGTGCATGTGCTACTGGAGATCAAATCCGGGTCTCAAGAATGGTAGACAAGTGTCAAGCCACATTCCCACCCCGAGTTCTGAGACCAGCTGGCCTTGAACTGGCAGTAACCCCACCCCTCCATCCCACAGGTATTGTCACTCCCAGCCTGCATTGGTAGACATTTTAAGACACCAGAGAAGAGAGGCTAAAAGGAGAATAGGTAGCCATTGACTCCGTTCTCATTGTTGTATTGAGTTGAATTTGGTTTGGCTTTCTTGGGGGCGGGGCAGAGTCCTCCACTACATAGTAGGCCAGACTGGCCTTAAACTCCCCATCTTCTCTCACCTTAGCCTCTTAAGTGCTGCTGAAATCATAGCCATGCTTTGACAAACTTTAAAGATCTGAAAAACCTGGGTGTGAAGAGACAAGCACCTGCTTCCCCTCAAAAGACTTGAGTTTAGTTTCCAGCACCCACATTTGGCTACTTACAACCACACTGCCTCTAAATCCTGAGGATCCAGCGCCCTCTTCTGGCTCCCCCTGGTGTCTGAATGTACGTGTGTACTTACACATGCCTACCCATGCACATCAACAAATAATACGTCTTGTAAATAAAACTGAAAACTCTTGTTAATGGCAGCTTGCTTTGGTTCCACAGCCTCTAGTGAAGTACACAAGGACTTGCCAGAGTGTGGCTGACAGCACGTTTGATTTGTGGGTTAGACAATTACTTCCATCTTCGTTCAGAAATTGGCTCTTAAGAGTCTGTTGGAGAGAAAAGAAACAATTTAAATGAACAGTTAGGAGCATGCGCACACATCTGTGTGGGTCCCCCACCCCAGAAGCTGTCCTCAGTGCAAGTTCCAGGAGGATGACAATAAATGGTCAGACTAATGAATTATAAGGAATTTTAGCCCTCATCAACACTGTGGAAAATGCTTCCATTCCTTTTGGAATCTCAGCTCGATAATAGTTTCGCAGGGTCTCAGTGACAAAATCATTTGACCCAGAGCCCATCTGCTTCCGCCCACAGCCTGAGAGGCCTATAGGTTAATGGGCACTTCTGGTTACCCTTGGGTCAGAAGGTGCTCTTCACTGCTGAGTTAACTGAAGCCGTCTATAGGGAAGGTATTTGTGTTGCATCAGAAGCGTGAGTGTTTTGAAGTCCTTTTCTGACCCAGCCTTAAGGACAGTCCAGCTGTCCCTGCTCCCAGTTGAAAGGAAAGCAGAGCCACTTTTTGATTTCTTGATGGCGGTGGGGGTGGGGCTTGTTAAAGAATCTCCTGCTGGGGCTGGGGCCCTTGAGTAAATTCATGCACATTGGGAATGAGTGGCCTGGGGCAACATGGGAATAACGCTCTTCAAATGGAAATGAGCGGAGGACTAGGCTGCCCTGGCTACCAGGCAAGATCTGCCCTTGCCCTAGCTGCCTAATTAAGGTCCTTCTGACTGGAGGGATCGCTCAGTGGTAAAGGGCTTGCCAGGAAGCCTGAGGACGGGAGTTTGGACCCCTACAGACAGGAAGCAAGCCCTGGTTAGCTCCTAAGCCCAGCATTCCTATGGCTAGATGGGAGGTAGAGGCAGGAAAATCCCCAGAGCTCATGGGCCAGCTAGCCTGTCTCAGGTGAAAGGTCAGAACAGACACCCAAGGATGTCCTGTGACCTCTATATGGGTGCTGTGACACACATGCACCCACATTTACACACACAAAGATTTTTTTTAAAGATTTTTTTTCTATTTTCCAGGAGGGAGGGGGCAGACCTAACCCTCAAAGGTGACATTCTGTCAATGACATTTTAGGGAAAAGGCATCCTTCAAAGGCTGCTATCTAAGAGAAGTAATGACTCACCAGAATCATGCATGACTTGTCACACATTGCTAGTGAATTTAGTAAATATGTCCAATAAAAATGGAAATGACCCTCCAAACCGTACATCTGGCTAATGTGATTCTTTGTGTTTTGTTGACACGGGTCCACATTTCCATATGATGCAGGACAGCAGAGGTTTCTCCTCTCTGGTCAAAGTGATTGCTCTCACAGTGTTCTATACAGTTAAAGCTTCTGCATTGTGCTTTGGCCTCCTGTTGCCTGATTGCCCAACTCTGAAGTACAGGAAGAAGGAAAGAGAGGAAATGAGGAACAGGAAGAAAATTCAGTTTTAATGGCCTGGTATTCTGTGTACATATGTGTGTATGATAGTTGAA